GGATCTTAGGCTTTGGTTAAACCAGAAAGATGAAAAGAGAAATATGATTAAAAACAAAAATATTACTAATATTTATTAAATGAGAAAAAGCTTTTTGAAATAATGAAAATAACATAACATGAAAAAGTTTTAAATTTAATTAGTGTTAGTTGAATTTTATGTATCTCTCACAAAAAAACTAAGCTGTGTAGTCATAAAACCATTTTCAGAACCTGGCCATAACTGTGAGCTTCATGCTGCTGGAGTGATCTGCTGCAGAGCAGAACCAGACTGCAAGATTGACTTTACTACTGAGACTTAAGAGCAAGCAACCATCCCCATTTAATTTCCACAGTTAACAAAAAAAAAGTTTTTCTGACTCTGGTTTGAAAAAAAAAAAAAGAAACACGACTGATACGCTGCACGCCAGAGAGCGTATGTGCGCGCATGTTTTTGCCTCACAGAGGGGACAATTGGAAAGTCCCCATGAGGATAGAAGAAGAAGCGTGTGTGTGTGCTCGCACCGGGTGTAGAGCTGAGCGCTGTGTTCATATTTCTAGATAGCTTTATTGGGGCTTTATTACGGGACATGGAGACGTTTTGTTTTAGCGGGCAACTGCACACGCCCCCTCCTCGAACGACCGGGTGCACCAGTGCGACCACAAATATTTTTAAGGCGCAAAATTAAAAAATAATTTTGCATTTGCAACCAAATTAGTTGCACTCTAGAGCCCTGTAGTAGGTGAGCAAATGCTTTAAGCAATATAGTTTATCTTGCGGTTTTGTTCACGAGTGAGGGAAGAATGTAGCTTGAGATTGACAGACGGTTCAGTGCAGCTTCTGCAGTTTTGTGGACTCTGTACCAGTTTGTTGTGGTGAAGAGGGAGCTGAGCTGTAAGGTAAAGCTCTCTGTTTATGTTTATCGGTCAGTCTACCCTCACCTATGGCCACAAACTTTGAATAGTGAATGAAAGAACAAGACCGTGGATAGGGTTGGGCGATATTGGCAAAATTTTTTTATCACAATTAATTGTGGTATTTAGTCGATAACGATTTAATGATTATTAGAAAGGACATGATTGGAGGTTTTTACTGATAATGTTTTATTCAAAACATGTTACAGAAGTCATAAGAAGCAGGTTTATTTTGAACAAACATTAC